TTAGATATTTTTAAGTGACTTTTTTATTGTCGAAGATTTTTATGTTTGCATTTATTATAAAAGTTTTGCAAAAATTTTGTATTCAATGAAAAAAGTAATGCAAAAACTCGTCAAAACTAATTGTAATCAAAAGCAGTCAAACTTCTGTTAATTATAGCCATAATCAGTGATTGAATCAATTATTTGGGAGCCGTTTCGTTGACAACTGGGATCTCCTTTGGCTGTGGAATCGGCGAAGACTCGGACAGTGAGATCGGGACGTTTCGCTCGCCTTCCTTCAGCTCAGGCTGTTTTCGCGGTGCCTTTGGTTTACAACAAATGGTTTAGTATTTAATGTGACATTTGATTGAGTTATTTATAAAACAATAGATATGTGTATTCAATGCGGGAATGATATGATCAGACCTGAAGAGTGAGAATGCCTTCGGGACTGAGAGATGACGTGACGGTCAGCGGATCGATATCTACGGGCAATAAATACTTTCGTGAGAATTGTCGCGAAATGAATCCAAAGTCGTCGGCGCGGTCTTCGTGTTTGGCGGTGACGACGATTGTGTTGTCCACTGTCTTCACCGTCAGCTCCTCCGGCGTGAAGTGCGACACATCGACCATCACTTGAAATTTGTCCGACTGTACCAACTCTTGCGACTGCGGGACAACACTCCGGATGCCAGGACTGGTGCCACCACTTAATTGACGACTGAATTGACATTACATTTGTGTATTAAGCGATTGGTTGAGCGCCACAAACCTGAACGGTCGTCGTCTCACGTAATAACTGGGAGTGACGGCCATCGGAGCGAAAAAGTCATCGTCGGTCAGATTAGATCCAAAGTGTGACTCGAAGATACGACTCGTGTCAAATCCCATGCCATCCCATAGATTGGTCCGTTCGGGTCGATTGAAAAATGGCATTATATGTCGCGACATATCCCGTACCGATTGACTGCCGATTTGGTGTCGACTTATATCTGTCGCTGCGATTCAAAAGATCCCATGCCATCCCATAGATTGGTCCGTTCGGGTCGATTGAAAAATGGCATTATATGTCGCGACATATCCCGTACCGATTGACTGCCGATTTGGTGTCGACTTATATCTGTCGCTGCGATTCAAAAGTTACTCAAATCCTATTATCCTTTTATAGACTGTGGTGTCACTCAAAGAACTAAACCTAAAATATGAGCTTAACTTAAGCTATAAAACAATTGACAAACCGTGGGCTGAATCGGGGGTTAAATCCTTAGTACACGAGTTGTGGATTAATTTTATGATATAACAAAAATTTCAATACATTTATGCAAATCTGGTTTGAATTTTATTGCTTGCATTATATCATACGCTTTGATTGCCGTAAATATTCAGCGATTTAATGGTGTATAAGGGGTAGAGAATTGTGCCCAGACTTTGGGCTCAAAGTTAGGCATCAGTAAACATATGCGCTGTTTATGCAGAATATTTTTGGTAAATAATTATTTGTTGACTCTTTAACTCTTAAAATAGACTTCACAGACAGTGACCCAAAAAATCTGTGCAAAATATATCTGCGGATTCTTGCGATTCATTTTTAGATGTATTGCTCAAAAAGAGTGATCTCAAAATAACTACATAAAGAAATTATTGTAAAATCTTTTAAAATGTAAATAAATGTTGTTTAGATATAAATCAACTGTTGACAAAAGTTATCTTTTTCTAAACATATTAATACAACATTAGCTATCGTTTTGTAAGATATTATACATTATATATTGAATTTCTGACTAAAACTATATTTCTTATGCAACGAGTGTTGGTTTACAATAGCATTCATATATAATTTATTCACTTTCTTAACAAATATTATACTTTAAAAAAGTGTGAAACAGATCTTATTTAAAGACCGAGACTCTCATGTCTCCAAAATTCATATTAATGTAAAATATGGACGACTTTCTGTGATTGTCGACTGACATCATGTCCTTATGGCCGACCACTGTATGCCAGTGCGTGCCGTACCTATCGTTGATCACTTCACTCAACTGATCGCTCAATTCTGCCATTGATTTCGCATTCCTCACCACTTTTGTCGACAACTTTTGTATCTCTTGTTTCATATCAGTGCTCATCAATGAGTCGATGATTCGCGGCGACAACTTCTGAGCCCTTTTCATCAAATTACTCGATCTCTCGATGAATTCGTTGCCATTCATTACGCCGAAGACTGAGACCAGCATATCGTTGGTGTTAAACATGTTATTGACGCCCAATTGCATGGCAACAGATCCGGGAATTTTGCTCAAAGACTGATCCATGAATGGTGTGGACGATAGGATGACATTACTCCTGAGGCCTAACTCGCGCTCCAGTTCTTTGCGAATACAGTCCACTAAATCCGTGCTTTGATTCGTGTTTTGTATGATATCTGTCACTATTTCCACCGCTTTATCCTTTTGTTCACTACTCAGACCTTTATAACAGACATTTATAATCATACCGTTATCATCAAAATGTCAATCATTAGATTCAATTTAAATATATGAATAAATTTATGACTATTATTTGTAAATTGAGGACAGAGTTATCGCATTTAATGTTTTTATAACATTTAATTAAATGTTTAATAAATAAAACAATGGTTTTATCAAAATTATAGACATTGTGGTCAATGAACTCTCGGTTTTTTCCCAAAACAAATCGTTACAAAATGTAATGAAGAGATTATACGGTATATTATGATATAACACCCGTAATCACTGTTATGTCAAAAAACATTAATGGTAAAACTAAAATAGAGATCCGGATTAATTCACTTTCAATCATTTTACTTTTTAATCTATTTAAAGGTACAATTATTTCAACGCTAACTTTAATACTGTATATCTATTGGAAGTCATTCATCATTAAAATATTTACAATATAATTAATTTTTATTTTAAAACCATAATTATATTATCTCTCTCACAAGTCGGACTAATCTATAATAATGAGTTTTAATACTATATATTAATTCATGTCTTATATAAGAATAAATTATAATATTATAATTACTTAATAGATTATTGTTTTAATGTATAAATAGGAAATGGTTAACATAAGGTAAATTAGACTCTGTTCTCATATAAAACAATAACAATTATTGTTGTTTCCAAAGTATAGATGTTTTTTATCTTAATATTCATTGAATGAGAAAGTTGAACAAAATAGTAATCTTAATTATATCACATATTCAGATCATAATGATAAATATTTACCCACAAAACCCAAACAAAAAACAACTTTTTATTAATATTAGTGAAAGTGTTGTATGAAATCTAAAGTAATTTTCGTATGAATTAATTATTGAGAGATTATGACCGACTTTTAATGAGATGAGACTTCATTTCATAATAAATCAAATTCTGTCACACAATTCATATACAATGAAATGACATTTGGTATGATTTGATGAAATATCCGACAAAGTAACAGTAATGTATTTGTGATAATAACTGTTATAACGTTACTATATATTGAGTTTGATTTTGTTTTAATGGGTCAGCAATTAGTTAATTAATAAAAAGCAAAAATGAAAAATCATTAAAATGTTTTCAAATTTGATTGGAAATAAATGATAATTTTAGCTTATTTTAGGACTGATTTTTATGCCAAAAGAATTTTTAGTGATTTATTTATATAAAATATTTCATAAATATTCTATTCTACTTTAAATATTCTAAAGTATACTTTACATAGAGTATCGGATAAATAAATTTATATAAAATATTTAACTTCCTTTAAATTTATAAATAATCGCTTTAAATAAATAATCAAAAATGTAAATGTATTTTAAATATAAATCTTTACATACCATTAGAGAAGTTAACTGTTGGTATAGACGGGGCAGTCGTTTGTTTAGCATTTTTCACCGAAAGTTTATTTTTCGGTAACTTTTGCTTTGAACTCAACACTGATTTCTTGATAGCCTTTTGACTTCTAATCAATTTATTGGACTTCGAGGTTGTGGTCGACAGCAATCCCTTGGATGCGGTCGTGTTTAACAGCTTATCGGCCGAAGAGTTTCTCTTCTTGATCTTCGAGACCGACTTCTTTTTGCTCTTCTCTTTACTTTCAACACTTAAAACACTAAATAACACAACGATTACTAAAAGCCAATATTTGCTGTTAATCCACATTTTCTTTACACAAACACAACAACAAAAAAGTTTTTTCTATGATTTCTAATTACATAAATCGACGACAAAATTAATAGATATATTAAAAACAATTAAATTGTGATTTAATGACATGAGTTCCGATTCAATTAAGAGGCTGTTGTACTCAAACACACACTTTCTCTCATGAGTTGTGTCTAATCTTGAATGAGGACTGAAATGACTTTAAGTTAGAAACTTTTAACTCTCACTTTGGGCTCAGAAGTTGTACTACGAGTGCGAAAAACACAGTCAATCGTCTTTCCGTTAGCCGTTTGCGATAGCCTTCGGCTGTTTCTATAGTTAGCCCGCGAATGGATTTAATAAATTTTTTCTTATTTTATTTTCTTGCGACTCGTTTTACACGATTTGAAACGTCTATTGAATGCAATGTTTTGTATAATTTT